CAACAGACAGACATCTGCAGGTATATATTTTCGGATCAGAATATTGCATAAAATAAGATAAATTTAGGTTTTGCCGCTTTGCATATGGCATAATGTAACTGTCTGCGTGAGAATGTACATAGTGTATTTGTTATGATGTAAAAAGTGCTTTTGTACAATGTACTTTTAGTAGAGATTTCGCGTCGTTGTGAAACGATTTTTGTCGCTTATATTTCATTGTATTGTTTGGGGGTTCAGTCTGGCTGCAGGTTTCACAGAGGCTCTGTGTTCATGTAGGGGCTTAAGTGCAGAGTTGCGTTCCTTTAAAGTGCCAGGATCTGCTGATAGTGTGGCAGATACGCTATATAGGGACTGACCATTTTATGCTTCGGGTGGGCAGGGCATTAAATAAATTGTCCCTAAAAATTCTTGAAAAATATAACTATGCTTCAGACATTAGAAATAAATGCCTGCCACAAAAACGACACCGTTGCAAGGTGATTTGTATTTATAAAAATTCAGGCTTATATTTTTCAAACCAACCAACCACTTTTATGTTTCCTTGAGACCTATAATTTATTTGTTGTTACTTTTAAATACTCTAACACGCAGTGATGGGAGACTGTCCGCTTTGTGTGGATCAAACTAAATGCAAATTATCCATTTACAGTAGCATGCGATACATAGATCTCAAGTAAGGAGACTCCAGTAATAGATAGAGGTTATCACGCGAGTGTGTTTGGGGATGGTAAATATCCTGCATTAGGAATAAACATTGTATTTAGCGATCGTGATAACCTCTTTATCATATAATGTCATTCTTTAATTCTGTGCTTTAAAATCGCTTTCCCTCTCTCACAAACATTACCAAAATATTGCGAGTTTTCCTGGAATGGGCGCATTAATATTTATTACGTCACAGGGTAAGTGATGTGTCAGTCGGACAGTGACAGTAGCCAATATAGTTCCAACTGAAATCTGTTTCTTGTACAGTGGCGAAGCAACATATTCGCAAAACAACAGTTGTTTTTAATTGCCTTTCGCGGCAATCCATCGGTCTGTCCGCTAGAGTAACTGCCCTTTATCAAAGGGAAGCTACTCTAACCCTAGTCTATGAGACGTCACGGCCACGTTCAGACGTTGTTGACAGTCGGTCTGTCCTGTCATTACGTTAAGAAGTGCAATCAGATGTACACACAGCGACTAAACGAAACAAGGTAACAATTCAAACATATTTCGGCAAAATCCAACTATTTTAATTTGGGGAGAAGGTCTAAAAGCACAGATATGGCTACTGATCCCGCTTGGCTAGGCCTCGTGCCCTCGCAAAATTGTTTCGAAATTTATATCTCCAAAGTTGCCAAAACTTATAAAATGCCTTAGCTACGTCACAGTTGGACACTGATTTTCAGTATATTAGACTGTTCTTTTCATAATGATAGCAATTATCCCTGTAGTTTATCCAGATTCCCGATGGTTAATTCTGACTCGATCGCCGATTGACGAGGGCGACGCCATGTTTGTTTATAAACAGTGAAAGTAGTCCTACTTGACCTTTGATATTTTCATCTCTATCCGCATATGACCCCAACGGATATCGTTTTTTATCCGTTGGCTTTATCCTGCCGAGAAACCTAGTAACCCATTATATGAAAAGACTGATTATTTGTATATACATGATTGGACTTTCAGTGATGACACCAGGTGTGTGTGAGAATTGAAGTATTGTATATCATCAATATGGCATGCATTCGCTATGTAGGTAAACACATAGGTTTACTACTCATGGAAGAAGTGTGTCGGACACGCAGCGCTTCTACAGAACCACAATAGTCGGTATGGTGTTATGGGTTATGTATGCCTCTTTTCTGTTTCCGGTTGACAAATAATCCATGTGTTGTGTTCACACTCGGCTGCTTGGTCATGCCAATCTGTACGCGTGTTGTGGTTGAAGATGGGAACTTTAATGTTGTGAATAAAGGATGTACGCTACTCTACTTCAACGTTGTGGTTATTGTATACAAATTATGCATATCCAGTAACATGTCATATTTCTACCACAACACAGGGAACTGAAGTTATCACAACCTAAGGGAAACAACAAATGATTAAATGGTTTGAACGTGACTACTGCAGTGGCGATACCAGGTGTTAGTGGTACTCGATACAGTACAAACTAACAATTTGCCAAGTGCCTCTCGGGTTGTACACGTTGCCTGTCTGCTTATGCATACATTAATGAGAGGTGTCACACTTTAGCGAAAGCATGCCACTTTCAGATGTACCCATAATGAGTAATTTCCCCTTACTTTAATATATATCATCAGTTCAAAATGTTTCAGAACAGGGAATATACATTTACAAACCTCATACCAAATTTAATCAAATGGTCAGTGTGCGTTTTTCTTTTGTATATAGGAAAACAATTTGCTCGAAAAAACAACCTGTTAATAAAGGGGCGGGCATGTCACGTAGCTTTGATTCACATACATGGTTCATTTACGTGGGATGTCTGAACTGATGTCTGATGTCCAATAGCGTGGATCGATGCTCTTGATGTCATTCACTGGATTGTCTGGTCCAGACTCGATTATTTACAGACCGCCGGCATATAGCTGGAATATTGCCTAGTGCGGCGTTAAACAACAAACAGACAGACATATCTATCTTCAGAAGTTATACTATACCGTATAAGGTTATAACATTCAAGGCCTCAGTATAACTTACATGTCCGATGCAATTCCATATGGTGACTTTTACTATATGTCCCCGCGTTGTTTTCAGACAAACAATTGACTTGCCTTTGCATGAGTTTGTGACGTGTGCCTTCGGTGTTGCAGGATTCGCTCACGTTTGCGCGAAGACCTGGCATCATCACTGATGGTGATTCATAAACACATGCTCTTGTGATTATGGAAATGTTTTTCTTTATTTATACGAACAGCATATTTAATATATCTATTGCTGTAAGAAGGAATTGCTGTTAATCACTCCTTTAATTAGACACGATGACGAAATATATGCTGACGTTTTTAACAAGTACATTGTATGTACTCAGTGGTATTGGGAGTGTGGAGCATTGATCGTGTAGTATGGACATAACGTTGGTGATACAACAGACAAACATCTGCAGGTATATATTTTAGGATCAGAATATTGCATAAAATAAGATAAATTTAGGTTTTGTCGCTTTGCATATGGCATAATGTAACTGTCTGCGTGAGAATGTACATAGTGTATTTGTTATGATGTAAAAGGTGCTTTTGTACAATGTACTTTTAGTAGAGATTTCGCGTCGTTGTGAAACGATTTTTGTCGCTTATATTTCATTGTATTGTTTGGGGGTTCAGTCTGGCTGCAGGTTTCACTGAGGCTCTGTGTTCATGTAGGGGTTTAAGTGCAGAGTTGCGTTCCCTTAGAGTACCAGGATCCGCTGATAGTGTAGCAGATACGCTATATAGGGACTGACCATTTTATGCTTCGGGTGGGCAGGGCATAAAATAAATTGTCCCTAAAAATTCTTGAAAAATATAATTATGCTAAATACACGGTTTTGACGCTGAAGCTGAAAAATATATAATCTCGGGACAAAATCCCAGCATCCTCCCAACCCCTCCCCGCCATAATATGAAATGGTTGGCTCCGTATTATGTCCTTTGATTTGATGCTATCACAATCATACATTGAAGGTGTAAGTCCATGTATTAGGTTTCAACCAGGTTGTAATTATATACAATTAATAAACATGAAACATAAAGCATGTAACATTATGGTGGAAAAGCATTTCACTGACATACATAATACATATAGTCATCGTCAGAGAACAACTAGTCTCGATTATCTCGATTATTCCACTGGGAGTAATATAAATTCTACCATGAATTTGGAAATTACTCGATTCTGACTGGTCAATCAGAGGTTGTAAAATCACAATAAACCCCCTCTGATTGAAATAGCCAATTTGACTTCCAAGCATAGCTAATACTCATGGAAAAGTACTTTTCCTTAGTCATTGTCGATAAGCATATTTAAATAATTATATTTGTAATTATAGGCTACAAGATGCAAAAATGCGGTTATTGCAATATTCAATGGATGTGTGTCAGTACTTTTCGTGCAAAAAAAGAAGAAATAAGATAGCAATCGACAGAGAGAATGTATCTAAAGTTTTGAGGGGATAAGAGAACTTAGAATTTGGCGCTTTTCTATATACAATGTACGACTGTGACGTCGTATCGTGTGCCTTACAATGAACGGCATTATGACGTCACGATGGTGACGAGCGGTGTAGAAAAAAAGCATTTCAAGGCTTGCTTAGTTTTCTTTAGGGGTGTCCACCTCATGTTCGCTTACCAAGTTGTCGTGCTTATTTGCTTTCAATGCCTGTCATATGTTCGAGTGAAGTATTACTGTGTAAACAAACTGATTGAGTATATATAAAGAGAGCGCCAAATTTTGTTAAAGGTTCTTGTCGGTGATACTTCCGTACTTCATGTCGACAATCCACTCAAAATACTGAACTCGGCGTTCGGTTCCAAATTCAATTTAGCGCTGTTAAATCTGCAGGTAACCCAGCTCCACATTGAAAACACAGTTTGCTTCTCTCCAAACTGATAATTGAAAATCAGTGATGAAACCAGGTGCCTGCGCAAATGGGCAAGTGTGTCCTGACCTACAGGACAGCACCCGCCTCCCACAAAACATGCGGTACAAAGTATGTGTGTTGCCTGACAAAACAGGTTACGGCAATGCAAACAGTTTACGGCAATACAAACAGTTTACGGCAATACAAACAATTTACGGCAATACAAATAGTTTACGGCAATACAAACAGGTTACGGCAATACAAACAGTTTACGGCAAATACAATCGATTTCAATACAACTGTTTCCTTTCTTATTTCTTAAGAATAACTGCATCACCTGTACATTGAAGTAAAAACACTATGTTTCATATTGATTGACGTTATCGATTCCTTTACAACGTCTGTTGGATTAGCTCGAGAAATCCACACACTGACAGAGTACAGGTCCGACTGTTCAGCGCCTTACTGTATCGCGCCATGCTGGGAAGAGTGCATCTGAACCTCACATGTCTGGGCCTTCTCGTCCTCGTGTCTTTGTTGGTCGTTGCGCTCTTAAACGACAGTATCATCCATAACATATCGTTTTCCACGCTTTCGGGACAGAGGTCCAGTCCTGGCCATGCTGCATCAAAGCCCATGCTGCCTTACTTGTACGATCAGCAGAAACGAAAAGCACTTGACATCATGAACACGGTGAGATATAGTAGTTACACTGACATTTTCACTACCCACAATCTCACACTGTCAAGTCGAAGTAAAAGAATATATATTTTGTGAAGGCTTGCCTGCAAGTGTACAACAGATTTACACTGGAAGTTAGCAAGGACGGTGTCCTGGCGGACTACTTTAACAACTGACAAATGATGGATGCATGTACAGATGTACCCTTAGGTTAGGCTGAAAGTACGTAATGACGGTATATACACCAGGCGGACTACTTTAACAACTGACAACTGATGGATGCAAGTACCCTTAGGTTAGGCTGGAAGTACGTAATGACGGTATATACACCAGGCGGACTTCTTTAACAACTGACAACTGATGGATGCAAGTACAGATGTACCCTTAGGTTAGGCTGGAAGTACGTAATGACGGTATATACACCAGGCGGACTTCTTTAACAACTGACAACTGATGGATGCAAGTACAGATGTACCCTTAGGTTAGGCTGGAAGTACGTAATGACGGTTTATACACTAGGCGGACTACTTTAACAACTGATGGATGCAAGTACAGATGTACCCTTAGGTTACGCTTGAAGTACGTAATGACAGGATATACACTAGGCGGACTTCTTTAACAACTGACAACTGACGGATGCATGTACAGATATACCCTTGGGTTACGCTTGAAGTACGTAATGACAGTGTATACACTAGGCGGACTTCTTTAACAACTGACAACTGACGGATGCATGTATAGATGTACCCTTGGGTTATGCTTGAAGTACGTAATGGCAGTATATACACTAGGCGGACTACTTTAACAAATGATGGATGCATGTACAGATGTACCCTTAGGTTAGGCTGGAAGTACGTAATGACGGTATATACACTAGGCGGACTACTTTAACAAGATTCGGGAAAAATATGGCAACTATGCGGGCCTCGCTTACGAAGCTTACGCTTCCTAAGTGCCAAGTTTCCCAACTCCCCAATGGTCTCGGTGCCTTAGGTTTGATACCTCCCAATCTGTTGACTGACATTGAGAGAGTACGAAAAGCTGTTCGACCAGTCAGCGCTTCCTGGGAGAAGTCCCATTCGCTGTCTGGGCTGCGTGTAAAGGGGGCAAGGGCCCTGAGCTGATGATGAGCCTAACCAGCCTGACTGTGCCAGGATCATCCGAACCTTCTTTTCTGCATTTATGCTTTTACTTATAATTATGATGATGGTATATGATGATGATGACTCCTTGCTTTCTGGCATTGAATGTTTCATTGCAGTCGATGTTTACATTCAACCAAGCATTTAAAAATCCATGCTGGTGGGAAACATCACTTGATGAGAGCAACTGTGTTGATCTGATGGAAGACGCACGGAAACCACTGCGACAAGCGCACAGAGACCTCAGGAGCAACAAGAGGATCCTGCGATGCCTGCCGTATTTCCAGATAGTGGGTCAGGCCAAATGTGGAACAACTGATCTCTTCAGTAAACTTCTCATGCACCCACACGCAGTACCGACCATGGTGAAGGAGACGCAGTGGGTTAGCCGCGTGCGAACAAGTACGTTTCTCTAGCTGATCTATCTACGAGCTGTCAACATTTGCTCAACGTATAACCATCAACGTATATATCCCTACCCCCATCTCTTACATGAGTAAATGACGAATCGACAAACAACTTCATATGAAAGCTCTAGAGCTGAGCTTGTTGGCTGCTGTAATTAATAAATAATTATATTTTATCGTTTCAGACCAGTTTTGTTCTCCCGTCAACACGTACGTGAACTACTTTCAAAAGAGTGCCAATAGTATCAGACAAGGATTGCGGGATAAAGCTATAATAGGTAAACCACTTTGTCTTTGAGGTCTGATCATAATTTTTCATAGTTCTGTTTTAGATATTGAGATTACTACACTTACACACTTACGAGTTGTAAGATCAATGGTATCTGACAGGCACGAGTGCAGTAATCTGTTTCTTACACACCCGAAAATCGCACCTTTTTAGCATCGATTTGATCAATTTTGTCTATTCTCATGATCGCAGTAGCGCATTAATATATAACACCACTGTCATAAGCGACGTCATCCTATGTACTGCTTACTACTCAGAAATAATGTGACCCTACACAATAAGGTTTCCGCCATATCTGCGGATTATCCAGGCATTGATGATAATGCAAACTATACAAAAAAAAGAACGCGTTTGGTGCCGAGTTAAAACAATGTTTACTTCCGTATGACATCACTACCTTTGACCGACTTTTACAAAATGGCTTCTTCACTGACAACAGTACGCGGGGTTTCTAGAGGAGGGTTTTCGTTGATTGAGGGATCGTAATACATAAATGTGTCACATAAGTAATCAAAAACATTCTGACAATCTGCCTACTGTTATTTGTTTACCATGTTTTCCAATGTAACAAAGAGAATTGGTCAGAAATGCAAATAACTACCGTCATCGTTGAGCATGATTTAGCATCAGTCATAGCGTCACACAGGACGGAAACTTTTACGGCTTCTGTTGAATTTACCACATCATTGTAATGTATATATGTGTAATTCCATAATTAGGGCAACGATATTCTTCCCATGAATAATCTCAAACGCATGATCGAGCCAATGTATGCAACAATTAAACGAAAGTGCCTCTAAAAATGCTACACAGTGTAAAATCTGAATTTTGCTTTTTTACATTTCAGCAAGTACAGTTTTCGTTTCCATGCCTAATTTATTTCGCATGTTTTCATCTAGATTATTTGAATTGGTGACAAAGACCATTTGTCACTTGTTTCTAAAATGTATGAGGAATTCAGGGATGCATGTATAGCAGCTGAGTTTGAAATATACCTTATAGAAAAGGCGTCTCATAACCGGCATTTTGTGAACACAATCCAATATGGCGGAATGTACACTTCGCATTCAATCCGATTATATATCAGCGACGTTTCAGAACTATCATGAGTGATTTGATACCCGTGATCACTAATATGCTATTTCCCTACTTTAGTTATTCGAGTAATTTTCAGAAGTCACTTTCAGAAATTTTGATTTGCCTATAATGAAATTAAATGATAAACAGAAGGGTGAATACATTGTGAAGTGTATTAGTTTGCGTGATGTATTTTGAATCTTATTCGACTTAGAAGTGAGGGTTGAAGAGGGGGGACATATTTGTCGCTGTGGCATCCAGGGGGTTTACACTCTGAAAAACGATAACGTTGACATAACAACAGATAATGTAACTGATCATAATAACAAACTCGCAGACGAGGACGAGGTTGTTTATTTTTACACAGTCCTGTGGTTCAATGCAGACGCAGGTGAACATTCGACTGAAGCACAAGCCTCTCAGATTGACTTACACTCAGGAAAGTAGTCCGTTATCATCTGACCTCATGTCATCACCATGGAGTAACCAATCACGGGCCTGGAATTCGATCTCACCCAAATTTTTGATACCAGTTATCTCAAATGGGTTTCTCACCCACAGGTGTGTAAGAAATGGAGAATCTAATCCGAGTGTTATTTGATATCAAATATATCAACACGCGTTGATGAAAATAAAAAGGGTTTTCTTCCACTTTTATCGACGAGTGTTGATATATTTGATATCAAAAGACACGAGGGTGAGAATTTTTTTATCATCCAACATCATTCTTCCAACTTTTTAAGTTTGTAGACAGGAATAAGCTGTTGTGTCTTAAATGTAAAAGGTACTGCTAACAGCTTCGGCAGCAGAGCCATTCGTGATGTCATTTGATTGTGACGTCATGGTAACAATGACAACACAATGGTCTGCAAAGCATTGTGATGCGATTATATTGCAGCAACATCTACAATGTACACAACGCTTGATCTCACCCAAGCCATATCTCCTGTGGGAGCAAATTTGGGATGATAAATTGGGATTGACCCCTTTTCGTATCCATGTGAAGTTCATGCCGGTGTGTTTATTTCGCACAAACACCTATGTAAAGGGTAGTGGTCTCATAAACGAGCTATGTATTTGCAATTTCAAATTCCGAAATTTATGCAAAAAGTTGACGTAACCTAGGTTGATCTAACCAATAAAAAATGTCCATTTAAAAAGCGCCTAATTCCAAATCGATAACATTCTGATGTCGCATACAATGTTAGTTTAAAGAGACGTTAAAAAGATAAGTCATAATTTGCGCTTGAAAGCAGAATGGGTTTGCGTTATCCGAGGATAGTCTGGATGAGTGTTCCTCTTCCTGACTGCTCCTAGACTGAAGGATCGAAGGCCACATGATTAAAGTGTCCATCCGGGGACTTCAAGAAGATGCTTAGGTCCTGAAAGCAAGACCCTTATGTGGCAGGATTCAGTGAGTAGGTCACAGAAGTAGCCAGAAGCAGAGCCGTTCACACGTCAAGGACAGCATCTTAAAGTCCTCTCCTGCTCTCACTTGCCGACACTGATGTGCTGGAGTGAAGCTGTCAAAGCTTAAGTGTTCTGAATCAGTTGTAGCCGAGGGATTAGGTCCTGAGCTATATTATGTAGCTAACTGTTGCCACAGTCACGGCAAGACAATATCAGGAATCGCCCGCACTGGACGCATGTCATTCCTACCTGTTGGAGACGCGTGGGATGTTGAAATCGCTTTATTAATTACGAATATGTTTTTATTGAACACGGACTAATTATTTTTCAGGGGAAGCTACTCCAAGCTATTTGTCGATTAATCGATTGTGGGACCTGTTGCCAGGCAACGAGGGGTGCACGGAGCCATGTGTCACTAATGCTGACATTATCCACCACCTGAATCCAAACACGAAGATCATCATAATTCTCCGCAATCCCACTGACAGGTGACTGGTGTGGAGCGGATCATGTACCAGGCAGCGTTATAACCCAGCTGACCCACGGGCACGACTCTGCCGGGATGGGTCTCCCCTTTAGCTGTTCAACGATGTGCTGGCGTTCTAATCACATATTTAGAATTTGTCCCAATCCCCTATCTATTCATTTAAACTCGTGCTCGTATGTTTCGTAACAGAACCAAACGTCTGAACTCGCTTAGCACATATGCAGGTCCTAATATTATTGACACGTCGCCCTGAGCATTGTTAAACTCATTCTCATCTCCGTGATTTAGTTTAGAGAGAAGAAGTATGTTTGATAATTCCTTTGAAGCATTCCTACATACAACCGTGAATGCAAATCATGCACTTCCTGATGCGTGTCTGTTGTTACGGTTGCAGACTTTACTCCTACTACTTCCACGTGGAGCGAATAAGTAAAGAAAGGGCGTATAAGGGGGAGTTCCACCAGCTGGTGATGCGGGAGGTGGCAGAGTACCAGGACTGTCTCAAAACCAACACGCCCCGGAGATGCGCTTACAACTACACGTCTTCATCTGTACCTACGAAAAAGGTACTTAGACACTTTGGGTATGATTTCTTCATCTTCATATGCCTAAAATAATTATACTACATGTATTGTATGCTAGGCGTCTTTGCCTAGGAACAGATGCACCCAATACTCAACATTCAAGTTCTTGGTCAACATCTTCACACGCTTATCTGCTTTCTGAGCTTCATCTTTCAGAGTATCATGGCATGTTACAGATCGACCTCAGAAGAGGATTATATTCCATATTTGTCACAGACTGGATGAAAGTATACCCCTCGGAGCAGATGCTCATCCTCAGATTCGAAGACTACAAAAACAAAGTAGAAGAACACCTCCAGCAGGTTTTCACTTTCCTCGACCTCAGTGAGAACTTGTTTATTTGAATCCGCCAAATCGTGTTGAATAGCAATGCATTTAGGAAACAATCCTAACGCTAGCTGTGAACAAAACGCATATTCATATTTCATACACACGCACAAATACATTCCAAGTTGAAATATATTTTGTTCATCTTTCATAAACTGTGAAGTGTGTATTTTCTATATCTTAATCTGATGACACTTGGAGTCACACGGGTCGGACACGGCGCCACATTACCTGAGCAGTCCCATAGCTAGGATGCGATGATTAATGACAGGCTGGACTAAACTCGCACATTCAGTATCACTTTCAATAAGTCAAAGCGTCTTTAAACCCAACTCACCCACTCACTCACTAGTTTGTTTGTTTATTGTTCAACGCCGCACTCAGCAATATTCCAGCTATATGACGGCAGTGTGTAAATAATGGAGTCTGAACCAGACAATCCAGCGATTGACATCGTGAACATCGATCCACGCCTCTCGGATGCGATGACATGCATCAACCAAGTCAGCGAGCCTGACCATCCGACCCCGTTAGTGCCCTCTATCGGCATAGTCGCCTTTTATGGCAAGCATGGGTTGCTGAAAACCTATTCTACCCCGGATCTGCACGGGTCCACTTGCTATAAGACGAGAGTTGGGTGATCATGAGTATCTCACCGAAGGAAATGAAGATATGTCACTTCCTGCAGCATACGCAAACAAACCTGAGGACAACATGACAGAACCTGATCCTCATCAGCTTTCAGTCAGGAAACCAGGTGTTCCAAATCGTTTGACAATATCCTCCTCTAAACAACGGATTCAGTGTTACTAAATTATATGTCTCCGAACATTTTGCCACTCATATGCCTTGTATATCACATACATAGATATAACAATTCAATCGTTCATATAAGATGAAAACCACGTGCGTATGTACAAAGATGATACATGCACCAACGTAACGATTCAATTCACAGAGCTCGTAACCTGGCCATCTTATGTTTCAGTGCCACTTTCCCAGAAGAAGATTACATCAATAGCTAATTCCGCAATCCAAAATAAACGTCAAGCATCCAGTAGAAAGTTTGGTGACATGTGGACGTCGACAAGGGAGGTTCTCGATAGGTTCTACAAGCCATATAATGAACAGTTGTCTGCTCTACTACAGAACGAGCGTTACCTATGGCGTAAAACTGTGAACTGAAAGACTTTAGGTTAAACACTCTCATAGAAATCACGAGAAATTACTTCACATTCGTGGTAACTGAAATATTGATTCTCGTAAACAATTGCGCTTTACAAATGCCAACTATATGGTGGTACCGGGGATTACAGAGCACTTTAATTATCTACTGAATACTGTCATGTCAAATGTGCCTCTTCTCAACTCAAAACAATATTGCCAATAGTTTATGTTTGTATCAGATTGCGATACGTCTTTGTGGGCGTTAAATCGCAATATTTCTAGTATTTCAAGATCAGCTATGATAAAAGTGCCTGGTATGAATCATTCTTATTTCTGACGCCTTTTCATTTTTTATACTATCTACATGCTTGAACACTTACCTAACAATAGAAGGTATTAATTTCCTTGATGCAAATGCAATACTGAAGGAGTCCGGGCTATCGACTGAATCCACCACGTGTTCATGCATACTAGGAAAACGCCTGCATGCATTGAATCCCGTTGCAACATCATGGGAAGAGGGTAGGGCATGTTTGAGTCCACTAGGTACACGGGCCGAGTAAATACTGAATCCCCAACTTGTATACAGGGGATGGAGTAAACATGATACATATATTGAATGCCTCAGGTGCAATTGCAAAATCGGAAGAGGGTTGCGATCACATACCATGAATAAGGCACTCGGGAATAACTAAAGAACTGTTTTTAGATATAAAGTGTTTTACAATAACCGAAACAGTTACATTACATACGGTGATATTACTATTGTGATATAGCAGCCTTGATGACACCTGAAAAGATATAAACATGTCAGTTATTGAAATATGACCCATAATATCGGGATCATATCGGGAACATATCGGGGTCACATCGGGATCACAACTCTTGATATTGATACTGTCGAAACAGGCCAACATTGATGTCGTGTTCAAGAGAAGTCACAACATTCAGAACACAATAAAAGCCACAGGAAACCTACCATCCAGCCACAAGCTGGGACCATCAGGATCAGTGTACCACATTCCGTGCAATTGTGGACAGCCTTATATTGGCGAAACATCTTGGCCCCTCAAAACCCGAATTATAGAATATCAAAGCTCAGTCTCCAAAGATGACACTAAGTCAGCGTTATCAGACCACATCCGTGACAACCCAAGCCACAGCATCCAGTGGGACAAATTCAAAACCCTCACCACCAACCTCAAAGACTTCAAAATCCGAAAACTACAAGAAGCCATCGACATCAAAAGACTCCAATCATCAACCATCATCAATGTAAGCTATTACATACCCCAGGCGCACCATCAAATCATCAAAGACCCCAAGCAGTCATAATCCTTTTGCTTATATTACCTGCTTCACCCTTTTGGGTACATAACAGGCTTCTCCACTCCAGAGTACTACACCTTAAATCTACTGTACTGTGTACACACTGCCTTCTACCCGTATATATACTTACCAACACACTCTGTCCATCACTTGCTTGATAACGATCTTAGGACCTACACCGAAACGTCGTTCCTAATTGTAATAAAGAAGTTGTTCATTCATATGTCTTATCCTTACTCAGTACTCAAACTTCTAAATGCCTCTCAAAGAAGGTATTCTGGAGTTTGACTCTTAACCTGAATCCCTAAGTACGTATAGACCTGACCTTCCACGAGATCGGCAATGACTCCTTCCCCAAGTAAACTGACCGATCCTCCATCTTCTTCTTCTTCTTGTTGATAACTTTCTTTACAGTAGTGAGTGAGTGAGTGAGTTTGGTTTAACGCCGCTTTAAGCAATATTCCAGTAATATCGAGGCGGGACATGGGCTTCCAACATTGTACCCATGTCGGGAATCGAGCCGGGTCTTCGGCGTGACGAGCGAACGCTTTAACCACTAGGCTACCCGACCGTCCCTTCTGATGATCCGACATTTATACAAGAAGTTGGCATCGCCATGGGCACCAGTTGTTCTCACCTCCTTGCTGATCTGTTTCTTATGCAGATGAATGGGAACACAGGAAGATGTGGCCAAGAAATTTAATAACTTAATTTTCATGTATATTGATGATCTGATATCGATCAATAATTGTCAAATAGACAATTACCTTCAACGTTCCGTGAATAAAAAAGAACAGTGACATTTGGTTCATGTTTAGATTGGTGCAGTCAAGTTACAGTAAAGTATCCACAGGATTGTAGAACAAGAGGTATCACTTTAACTTTTCAAAAGTCAACTTTTCCTTTATGTCGAGCAATATTCCAGCGGCTCCAGCCTTTGGTGATTACATTAGGTTTGAAGTACAATCGAGCCTGCCTTTTCAATGAAGATTTCAAAGAGCGGCATGTGATTGTTGCTAAAAATGTTTGAATAGGGTTATAACGACTGGTACCATTCCCTGTACCACATGATCCCATATTTAGTTGAAGGTGAGCAGCTGACTTGCCCTTGAATGTGTTTGTGACGAGCGTCACCCCTGGGGAAGGGTATGCACACCCTTTGCGAACACCTGGTGTCCTCGCTATTAAACAGTGATTCTTAAACACAAGCTCATGATACACTTAAAATCGTACAATGTACTTTCTGCTTTTAGAAGTGATTTCTTATCATTATGGTTATTGTGTGGTTTATATTCACATCATTCGATGCCTCAGTAAAGCTTTCGAAATGTTTTATGTGGAAGACATTTCCAAATTTCACGCGTCAGTAGCCACAGTTATGTTTTTCAGGTGAAGACTGTTCTTGCCTTTGCATGTGTTTGTGAAAGATGGCATGGGGATGAATACGCTAACTGCGTGTTTGTTCTCTAATGCCGTACTCGGCAATATTCCAGTTATATGTCGGTCGTCTGTTTTCAATGGACCCTGGACCGTGGACCCTGGACCCTGGAGCAGTCAATACAGTGGTTATCATCACGAGCAACAATGTGTGGAGTTGGGACACGATGACATACATCAATCAAGTTAGCGACCCTGACACCCGATCCCGTTAGCAGAGCAACAATGTGTGGAGTTGGGACACGATGACATACATCAATCAAGTTAGCGACCCTGACACCCGATCCCGTTAGCAGAGCAACAATGTGTGGAGTTGGGACACGATGACATACATCAATCAAGTTAGCGACCCTGACACCCGATCCCGTTAGCAGAGCAACAATGTGTGGAGTTGGGACACGATGACATACATCAATCAAGTTAGCGACCCTGACACCCGATCCCGTTAGCAGAGCAACAATGTGTGGAGTTGGGACACGATGACATACATCAATCAAGTTAGCGACCCTGACACCCGATCCCGTTAGCAGAGCAACAATGTGTGGAGTTGGGACACGATGACATACATCAATCAAGTTAGCGACCCTGACACCCGATCCCGTTAGCAGAGCAACAATGTGTGGAGTTGGGACACGATGACATACATCAATCAAGTTAGCGACCCTGACACCCGATCCCGTTAGCAGAGCAACAATGTGTGGAGTTGGGACACGATGACATACATCAATCAAGTTAGCGACCCTGACACCCGATCCCGTTAGCAGAGCAACAATGTGTGGAGTTGGGACACGATGACATACATCAATCAAGTTAGCGACCCTGACACCCGATCCCGTTAGCAGAGCAACAATGTGTGGAGTTGGGACACGATGACATACATCAATCAAGTTAGCGACCCTGACACCCGATCCCGTTAGCAGAGCAACAATGTGTGGAGTTGGGACACGATGACATACATCAATCAAGTTAGCGACCCTGACACCCGATCCCGTTAGCAGAGCAACAATGTGTGGAGTTGGGACACGATGACATACATCAATCAAGTTAGCGACCCTGACACCCGATCCCGTTAGCAGAGCAACAATGTGTGGAGTTGGGACACGATGACATACATCAATCAAGTTAGCGACCCTGACACCCGATCCCGTTAGCAGAGCAACAATGTGTGGAGTTGGGACACGATGACATACATCAATCAAGTTAGCGACCCTGACACCCGATCCCGTTAGCAGAGCAACAATGTGTGGAGTTGGGACACGATGACATACATCAATCAAGTTAGCGACCCTGACACCCGATCCCGTTAGCAGAGCAACAATGTGTGGAGTTGGGACACGATGACATACATCAATCAAGTTAGCGACCCTGACACCCGATCCCGTTAGCAGAGCAACAATGTGTGGAGTTGGGACACGATGACATACATCAATCAAGTTAGCGACCCTGACACCCGATCCCGTTAGCAGAGCAACAATGTGTGGAGTTGGGACACGATGACATACATCAATCAAGTTAGCGACCCTGACACCCGATCCCGTTAGCAGAGCAACAATGTGTGGAGTTGGGACACGATGACATACATCAATCAAGTTAGCGACCCTGACACCCGATCCCGTTAGCAGAGCAACAATGTGTGGAGTTGGGACACGATGACATACATCAATCAAGTTAGCGACCCTGACACCCGATCCCGTTAGCAGAGCAACAATGTGTGGAGTTGGGACACGATGACATACATCAATCAAGTTAGCGACCCTGACACCCGATCCCGTTAGCAGAGCAACAATGTGTGGAGTTGGGACACGATGACATACATCAATCTAATTAGCGACCCTGACACCCGATCCCGTTAGCAGAGCAACAATGTGTGGAGTTGGGACACGATGACATACATCAATCTAATTAGCGACCCTGACACCCGATCCCGTTAGCAGAGCAACAATGTGTGGAGTTGGGACACGATGACATACATCAATCTAATTAGCGACCCTGACACCCGATCCCGTTAGCAGAGCAACAATGTGTGGAGTTGGGACACGATGACATACATCAATCTAATTAGCGACCCTGACACCCGATCCCGTTAGCAGAGCAACAATGTGTGGAGTTGGGACACGATGACATACATCAATCAAGTTAGCGACCCTGACACCCGATCCCGTTAGAAGAACAACAATGTGTGGAGTTGGGACACGATGACATACATCAATCTAATTAGCGACCCTGACACCCGATCCCGTTAGCAGAGCAACAATGTGTGGAGTTGGGACACGATGACATACATCAATCAAGTTAGCGACCCTGACACCCGATCCCGTTAGAAGAACAACAATGTGTGGAGTTGGGACACGATGACATACATCAATCTAATTAGCGACCCTGACACCCGATCCCGTTAGCAGAGCAACAATGTGTGGAGTTGGGACACGATGACATACATCAATCTAATTAGCGACCCTGACACCCGATATCGTTAGCAGAGCAACAATGTGTGGAGTTGGGACACGATGACATACATCAATCTAATTAGCGACCCTGACACCCGATCCCGTTAGCAGAGCAACAATGTGTGGAGTTGGGACACGATGACATACATCAATCTAATTAGCGACCCTGACACCCGATCCCGTTAGCAGAGCAACAATGTGTGGAGTTGGGACACGATGACATACATCAATCTAATTAGCGACCCTGACACCCGATCCCGTTAGCAGAGCAACAATGTGTGGAGTTGGGACACGATGACATACATCAATCAAGTTAGCGACCCTGACACCCGATCCCGTTAGCAGAGCAACAATGTGTGGAGTTGGGACACGATGACATACATCAATCAAGTTAGCGACCCTGACACCCGACCCCGTTAGCAGAGCAACAATGTGTGGAGTTGGGACACGATGACATACATCAATCTAATTAGCGACCCTGACACCCGATCCCGTTAGCAGAGCAACAATGTGTGGAGTTGGGACACGATGACATACATCAATCAAGTTAGCGACCCTGACACCCGATCCCGTTAGCAGAGCAACAATGTGTGGAGTTGGGACACGATGACATACATCAATCAAGTTAGCGACCCTGACACCCGATCCCGTTAGCAGAGCAACAATGTGTGGAGTTGGGACACGATGACATACATCAATCTAATTAGCGACCCTGACACCCGATCCCGTTAGCAGAGCAACAATGTGTGGAGTTGGGACACGATGACATACATCAATCAAGTTAGCGACCCTGACACCCGACCCCGTTAGCAGAGCAACAATGTGTGGAGTTGGGACACGATGACATACATCAATCTAATTAGCGACCCTGACACCCGATCCCGTTAGCAGAGCAACAATGTGTGGAGTTGGGACACGATGACATACATCAATCAAGTTAGCGACCCTGACACCCGACCCCGTTAGAAGAACAACAATGTGTGGAGTTGGGACACGATGACATACATCAGTCTAATTAGCGACCCTGACACCCGATCCCGTTAGCAGAGCAACAATGTGTGGAGTTGGGACACGATGACATACATCAATCAAGTTAGCGACCCTGACACCCGACCCCGTTAGCAGAGCAACAATGTGTGGAGTTGGGACACGATGACATACATCAATCTAATTAGCGACCCTGACACCCGATCCCGTTAGCAGAGCAACAATGTGTGGAGTTGGGACACGATGACATACATCAATCAAGTTAGCGACCCTGACACCCGACCCCGTTAGAAGAACAACAATGTGTGGAGTTGGGACACGATGACATACATCAATCAAGTTAGCGACCCTGACACCCGACCCCGTTAGAAGAACAACAATGGGTGGAGTTTGGACACGATGACATACATCAATCAAGTTAGCGACCCTGACACCCGACCCCGTTAGCAGAGCAACAATGTGTGGAGTTGGGACACGATGACATACATCAATCTAATTAGCGACCCTGACACCCGATCCCGTTAGCAGAGCAACAATGTGTGGAGTTGGTACACGATGACATACATCAATCAAGTTAGCGACCCTGACACCCGACCCCGTTAGAAGAACAACAATGGGTGGAGTTTGGACACGATGACATACATCAATCAAGTTAGCGACCCTGACACCCGACCCCGTTAGCAGAGCAACAATGTGTGGAGTTGGGACACGATGACATACATCAATCAAGTTAGCGACCCTGACACCCGATCCCGTTAGCAGAGCAACAATGTGTGGAGTTGGGACACGATGACATACATCAATCAAGTTAGCGACCCTGACACCCGACCCCGTTAGCAGAGCAACAATGTGTGGAGTTGGGACACGATGACATACATCAATCAAGTTAGCGACCCTGACACCCGATCCCGTTAGCAGAGCAACAATGTGTGGAGTTGGGACACGATGACATACATCAATCAAGTTAGCGACCCTGACACCCGACCCCGTTAGCAGAGCAACAATGTGTGGAGTTGGGACACGATGACATACATCAATCAAGTTAGCGACCCTGACACCCGACCCCGTTAGCAGAGCAACAATGTGTGGAGTTGGGACACGATGACATACATCAATCAAGTAAGCGACCCTGACACCCGACCCCGTTAGCAGAGCAACAATGTGTGGAGTTGGGACACGATGACATACATCAATCAAGTTAGCGACCCTGACACCCGACCCCGTTAGCAGAGCAACAATGTGTGGAGTTGGGACACGATGATATATCCTTGTTTGGGCATATGTAGGTGTCAGGTACAGATGTGAGTTTGATATATCTTTCTTTGGGCATATGTAGGTGTAAGGTACAGATGTGAGTTTGATATATCCTTGTTTGGGCATATGTAGGTTTCAGGTACAGATGTGAGTTTGATATCTCTCTGTGCATATGTAGGTGTCAGGTACAGATGTGAGTTTGATATATGTTTGTAAGAAAATGCATGGAAATGTTTTTGCTTGTGTTCGTACGGGAAATTTAGAAATTTTAGAACTGACGCATTTCCGACCGATTTAGATAATAGTGCAACAAAAGGTATTTTTGTGAATGAGTTTATTGATGAAATCAAATTGTTGCTGTTTGCGGATTACATTGTCTTTGTAGCAGAACTCTGTAATTGAGCATCTTTTTGTGATACCTGGGGTCTGGGAGTGAACCTGGATAAATCAAATATAATTGTATTCAGAATTAAAGGTGTTATAACACCACTTGGAAAAATGGAACTATAAAAATACAGAACTGAAAATAGTGACATAAAATAAATACTTGGGCATTGTCTTTCCATCACGTCTTCTGTTGTCTTAGGTCTGTGACACCCTAGCAACACAGGCCAAGAAAACATGTTTTCCTAGTTTTAAGTTGACTAAGCTCTATCCGTACATGCCATTTAAGGTAATTGTTTCTATATTCGATAGTAAAATAGCTTCGATCGCTTGTTATGGAAGTGAAATTTGAGGATTTATATTTGGAGAAAGTATAGAAAAAGTCCAAAGTGTTTTAAAGATATTTGCAAATAAGTAATAAAGCATCATCTAATGCGGTTCTTGGAGAAGTTGGCCGTTATCATCTGAATGTTATTTATTTCAGCCGATGTATAAGATATTGGTGTAGATTGATGCGCAGGAATTCAAATCGACTGCCACATGCTTGTTATAAATGCTGAAAGTACAAGATGATAATGGTGGTGTAAATTGGGCATCTCATGCGAGAATGCTTTTGTTTAAATCTGGTAATGGTTATGCGTGGATATCACAGGACTGTGGACATATACATTGTTTTATGGAATTATTCAAGAGATGAAGTATTGTCATGGTTGTACAAAACTGGACTCTAAACATTAACAATTCTGTGTTCTTGAACCATTATGCGTCAAATAAATCTCTATTTGAAACTAAACTCTATATAACCTCATGCTTTGATAAGGATCTTGTAAGAGTTTAAGCGAAATTTCGATGTTTAGCACATGGTTTAAAAGAACAAAAACAGCGCTTTAGCAAGCAGTTTATGCAACCGGAATTTGTATTCTGTGAAAAGTGTGATTTATAATAATTAGAAAATGAATATCATTTTGCACTAGTTTGCCGATATTACCAGAAAAGCAGAGATAGTTTAATTCCCCGTTATCTTCATCATTGTCCATAAAAACTGAAATTTGCCTCCCTGATGTCCCCCCAGAATGTTAATGTATAAGAGGTTTTGTTCTTTATCTAAAGAGAAGTTTGCCAGTTTATCATTCAACAGAACTGTTAATCTGTATTAAAGATAGTACGCATGTTATATGAAAAATAATTGTACTCTAGGCCACCAGGCCTTCAATACTGAGTAAACTCTCTCTCTGTAAGGATATGTGCAGGTGTCAGGTACTTATGTGAAGTTCATTTATCAACCAAAACTGACTTCTACGGGAGATATGTTGTAGAAGTCGCTGCAATGAAATTACGTAACAATGCTTTGCAAACCATTGTGATGTATTTTGGTCCATGACGTCACAATCAAATGACATCACTAATGTTACTCTAATGGCTCTGTTACTGAAGCTGTTAGCAGTACTCTTAAGACACTGCTTATTACTGTCTACATACTGAAAGTGGAAAAAACTCCTCGGCAAGTTTCGTGTTTTTTGTTGATATTTGATATCAAAAGACACGAGGGTGAGATTCTCTATATATCTTTGTTTGGGTATGTGTAGGTGTCAGGTAATAATGTGAGTTTGAAATATCTTTGTCCGGGTACATATAGGTGTCAGGTGCAGATGGATATGTCATTGTCTGAGTGTCTGTAGGTGTCAGGTGCAGATTGATATGTCATTGTCTGAGTGTCTGTAGGTGTCAGGTACAGATTGATATGTCATTGTCCGAGTGTCTGTAGGTGTCAGGTGCAGATTGATATGTCATTGTCTGAGTGTCTGTAGGTGTCAGGTACAGATTGATATGTCATTGTCTGAGTGTCTGTAGGTGTCAGGTGCAGATAGATATGTCTTGTCTGAGTGTCTGTAGGTGTCAGGTACAGATTGATATGTCATTGTCTGAGTGTCTGTAGGTGTCAGGTGCAGATGGATATGTCTTGTCTGAGTGTCTGTAGGTGTCAGGTACAGATTGATATGTCATTGTCTGAGTGTCTGTAGGTGTCAGGTGCAGATTGATATGTCATTGTCTGAGTGTCTGTAGGTGTCAGGTACAGATTGATATGTCATTGTCCGAGTGTCTGTAGGTGTCAGGTACAGATTGATATGTCATTGTCCGAGTGTCTGTAGGTGTCAGGTGCAGATGGATATGTCATTGTCTGAGTGTCTGTAGGTGTCAGGTGCAGATTGATATGTCATTGTCTGAGTGTCTGTAGGTGTCAGGTACAGATTGATATGTCATTGTCTGAGTGTCTGTAGGTGTCAGGTGCAGATGGATATGTCTTGTCTGAGTGTCTGTAGGTGTCAGGTACAGATTGATATGTCATTGTCTGAGTGTCTGTAGGTGTCAGGTGCAGATGGATATGTCTTGTCTGAGTGTCTGTAGGTGTCAGGTACAGATTGATATGTCATTGTCTGAGTGTCTGTAGGTGTCAGGTGCAGATGGATATGTCTTGTCTGAGTGTCTGTAGGTGTCAGGTACAGATTGATATGTCATTGTCTGAGTGTCTGTAGGTGTCGGGTACAGATTGATATGTCATTGTCCGAGTGTCTGTAGGTGTCAGGTACAGATTGATATGTCATTGTCTGAGTGTCTGTAGGTGTCAGGTACAGATGGTTATGTCACTGTCTGAGTGTCTGTAGGGGTCAGGTGCAGATGGATATGTCATTGTCTGAGTGTCTGTAGGTGTCAGGTACATATGGATATATCATTGTCTGAATGTTTGTAGGTGTCAGGTACAGTTAGATACACTAATTAAGACGGGCCGACCTTGTGTTCATGGTCTGGTGAACACAGGTCAATGGCCGCTCATTAACTCAAGATTCACATCTCACTGTTTTGATTTATCTCACTTTCCATTTGATATATTTTCCAACTTCAACTGAAACCCGGTCCCGTGTTACACGCATGGCACACGCGTGTGCAACGAGTGACACACGCGTTCTTAACGCGTGTCAGGGGAATGAACTTTTAGGCAGTAGTGTATGTCATTGTCCGAGTGTCTGTAGGTGTCAGGTACAGATGGTTATGTCACTGTCTGAGTGTCTGTAGGTGTCAGGTGCAAATGGACAGACGAAGCCTTCGTTTGTTGACAAATTCACTTTTATTTGGTTGTGAATATTACACTAATTAGACATCACACAGGACATACATCTGATCTTGTATCAAGATTTAAATCATCCCTTACTTGTGTGTTAATATGTTTTTCGTATTTATGAAAATATACCAATTATTGATAAATTTGTGTTCCAATGAATAACTGCTAGTGTACTAACACAAATACAAATAATTACTCTGGATGAGGTCATTCCAGTGACCTAGCTGCGAACCGAAAATGTTAATGTACCTGACGCCATCTTGTTTTCTCCTTGACGGGTCAATGTTCATCACGTGACAGGTCAAAACCGATCATGTTACGAGTCAATATTCGAGGTCAGCGTCAGTCACACGATTTGGGGGTCTTCATTGAAATGTATTGTTTTGTCCCGTGTTACGGATTAACCAATGGAGTTTCAAGATTCTCAATCTTTAACAACGTGAAATGATAGAAACGGTTTATATACATGGGAAAGTCTTGAGAACAACTTTATCACTGCAGACCTTCTGACATCACTACCTACCAACTATCGCTACACCAAGAGTCCGCCTTACAGACAAGGTGCTGAGACTGCTGAACCATCCTTGCTGGATGTCGGGATGAGATGGTCAGCCCGCAAACGCGTACTTCGTGTAAGTGATAATTGGGTGTTCGCAGACTTTGCAAGCACCGCAACATTTGAGATTTCCCGGGCACTGATAGTCGAAGGTACATTCCGGAGGTTGGCCACACAACACACGGCCCCGGTGATAGTGATACACAGCGGCTGGGCAGAAGCCTCGTCTCACTGAAAGAGATGAAATATAATTGCAGACAGTGACGTGAACAGTTTACATATTGGTATGTCGTGTCATGGTTACAACAGAAATGGAGCGTATTGCTGACCGGTTAAGTCTATTATGCCCAGTTGAATACTTTTTCAGACTGGTCTGATCATGATTTGTTTATAAATTGGGTTTGTTATCGCCTCCTCTTGTACGAGGTGTGTGTGTGCGTGTGCGTATGTGTGTGCGTGTGTGTGCGTGTTTGTGTGTGTGTGTGTGCGTGTGTGTGTGTGCGTGTTCGTATGTGTGTGCGTGTGTGTGCGTGTGCGTGTGCGTGTGTGTGTGTGTGTGCGTGTGTGTGTGTGTGGCTGCTTGTACTAGTCCGGACTGATGCTGATTTATAGTGATAACTGCCAGGGATACCCCACTTAGACACAGTATACTGACTCCGAGCCGATCAGTCCTTGTTTTAGCCCCTTAACGCCGAGCGGCAGACAGGGTAACAACAAGTGCCATCTTTTAACGCATTTTGGTATGACGATCCCGGGGATCGACGGTTGATTATAATTCAACATGCCATCCAACGACTACAACACGTTACATCGAGTGTCCTTTGAATTCACAAACTGAATGACATAGTTTTCTCCAATAGAGGAGTTGTCTGTCAAAGTGGCTGCTGCGGTGGTTATTAACAACATTCAAGGTGTCAGCTGTAACATGCATGTGGCTATTTTAAAATACGTTAATTTGATGTTAGGCGATTCCGAGAAAGGATCAACGCTGACACAACGGAGAAAACAGGTAGTATTTTACTGTAAACAACAGACACATATCTTTGTTTATCATATAATGGTTAGGTTTCTCGGCAGGATAAAGCCAACGGATAAAAACGATATCCGTTGGGGTCATATGCGGATAGAGATGCAAATATCAAAGGTCATGTAGGGATTACTTTCACTGTTTATAAACAAACATGGCGTCGCCCTCGTCAATCGGCGATCGAGTCAGAATTACCCATCGGGAATGTGGATAAACTACAGAGATAATTGCTTTCATTATCAAAAGAACAGTCTAATATACTGAAAATCAGTGTCTAACTGTGACGTAGCTAAGGCATTTTATAAGTTTTGGCAACTTTGGAGATATAAATTTCGACACAATTTTGCGAGGGCACGAGGCCTAGCCAAGCGGGATCAGTAGCCATATCTGTGCTTGTAGACCTCTGCGGCTTGAACCTTTCTCCACAATTTAAAATAGTTGGATTTTGCCGAAATATGTTTTAATTGTTACATTGTTTCGTTTTGTCGCTGTGTGTACATCTGACTACACTTCTTAACGTTATGACAGGACAGACCGACTGTCAACAACGTCCGACCGTGGCCGCGACGTCTCATAGACTAGGGTTAGAGTAGCTTCCCTTTGACAAAGGGCAGTTACTCAAGCAGACAGACCGATGGATTTCCGCGAAAGGCAATTAAGAACAATTGTTGTTTTGCGTATATGTTGCTTCGCCACTGTATAAGAAAGAGATTTCAGTTGGAACTATATTGGCTACTGTCACTGTCCAACTGTCACATCCCTTACCCTGTGACGTAATAAATATTAATGCGCGCATTCCAGGAAAACTCGCAATGTTTCGGTATTGTTTGTGAGAGAGGGAAAGCGATTTTGAAGCAAAGAATTAAAGAATGACATTATATGATAAAGAGGTTATCACGCTTGTGTGTTTGGGGATGGTAAATATCTTGTATTAGGAATAAACAGTATGTATTTAGCTCGCCAAGGCTCGCTAAATACAATGTTTATTCCTAATGCAGGATATTTACCATCCCCAAACACACTCGCGTGATAACCTCTTTATATTGCGTGGAGAATATTATATTTCTGTAATCAGTTGAAATACCTTTGGGGACACACTCGGCCTGGGGGGTGCAATACTGGGGTGTCGGACATCTAATGCTGCGACACAGTTGGCCGCGTGGGCATCGCACATCCTGCAAGGAAAATGCTCAGTGGAGATACTGGGGACTCAACGACTGCTACGAGGATGAAAACATATTCCAAGATGACATCCATGATAAACGCGACACGTCCAACCTCTTAAATGAGGTATTGTTAATGTCAAATCTTTAAATTTAAAATAGGCTATGATACAATAAAACATACACACAATCTGATCAGATGCATCCATCTATTTATCGAATTGAATAGATGTTGCCTTCGCTTTTCATAATCTCGATACATGGCAAAATGTCATACTTGTGTCAAAATCCTGCTTGTTTCTTTCGTAAATACTGATATGACATGTAAAGGACAACACAACACAAATATTATAATGCCTATCGTTACACAAGTTACCGAGCCGAAGAAATTCCAAATGAATTAATATATCAACGTGTTAAATTTACGAAATTAGACACTTTAGTACACCAACTGAAAACTATAGGAAAAAATAAGTCAATGTTTTTATATCTTATAAATGTGAATTTGTATCTATGTAACACATACCGCACAGGGATCCGGCTGAGCTGGTCTTTGTCCTGTACCTTGTGCTGGCCTTTGTCTTCTACCTTGTTCTGGAGCAGGAGGCAGTGGATGTGCTGATCTTTGTCTTATTCCTGGTGCTGGATCTACTGGTAGTCCACTTCCTTGTCCAATTCCTGCTGCTGTGTCTACTGGTAGTCCACTTTCTTGTCCTATTCCTAGTGCTGGATCTACTGGTAGTCCACTTCCTTGTCCAATTCCTAGTGCTGGATCTACTGGTAGTCCACTTCCTCGTCCTATTCCTAGTGCTGGGTCTACTGGTAGTCCACTTCCTTGTCCTATTCCTAGTGCTGGGTCTACTGGTAGTCCATTTCCTTGTCCTATTCCTAGTGCTGGATCTACTGATAGTGCACTTCCTTGTCCTATTCCTAGTGCTGGATCTACTGATCCTTGTCCAATTCCTGGTGCTGGATCTACTGGAAATGCACTTCCTTGTCCTATTCCTGCTGCTGGATCTACTGGTAGTGCATTTCCTTGTCCTATTCCTGCTGCTGGATCTACTGACAGAACACTTCCTTGTCCTAATGCTAGTGCTGGGTCTACTGGTAGTGCATTTCCTTGTCCTATCCCGGGTGTTTGATCTAGTGGTAGCGGATGTGCTAGTCCGTGAACTGTGCCTAGTGCTGGATCTTGTGTCAGTGGCTGTATCTGAGTGTGTGCTGCTGACGGTACTGCAGCCGCTGCTGGTTGTGACGCCGCTGCTGGTGCTGCTGCAAGTGCGACTGGATGTACGTGTGCCGCTGTGTGTGCAACAAGCAGTGGCTGTCCATATGTAACCATGTGGTCAGCTGGGTGGGTCATCCACCAGTGGTAGGGAACCATCTTAACAAGCATCCCATAACTTGTCGCCCACACAGAGGCAAGTATCTGCAAGTCAGGAGAATGACAATGTTATCTAATGAGTGTTTCCAGAATAGTTATCATAGCAATATTTCTATTAATAGATTAACTTAATTTATATCAGCATGCAATGCTAATTATTTAACTTGAAAAACTACTATTTATAACAGTACTTTGATTGTCGACCTGAGTGTATATCACAATACTGCTTGTCACCCTCACCAATCAATCACACCCTTCCGTGTCACTGTCAACAGGTGTTGGGGTGTAGGATATGAAACTCTTATCTTAACTTTTGATTTGACGGTGACAAGAAAAGATACCAAAATGCTGTCGATCGGTATTTCTTTACCTGATCCAATAATTGGATAACACCATCATTCTTTAAAGTGTAATGGACAAAATTTACATGCCATTCTAGAATTTAGAAAATTCCTCCATATACTTTGAATATAAGTGCTATTGTCCATTACAGTATAGAATTCATCACATTGTTTATTACATAATAGTATTCATTCCATTTTTTGTCGTGACATATGAAACACTTATACACACAACGACAGAGAAACATTGTACAACGAGTGAATCAAGGGGTTTATATACATTGTGTACGGCATCAAGTTTTCTATTTGTGGATTGGTGATGAAATAACATGGGTAGTTTCCTGTTCTGCCTCCCTTCCAGTGTTACATGAGAAGTGTTCATGTTCATCCTTTATCTTAAATGTAAACAAGCTTCAGATCAAACTCACATAGAGGTACAGCCACTGTACGGAATGTAACGATGACTCGATACACCCAGGAATGGAGTTGAGTTTTCATGGTACTAATGTTGTATTCAAGTAGTATTCTGGCTATAAATAGGGGAACACCGGACATTGAAATACAACGTTGTACATATCTGAACGCTTGAACAACTAGACCACCCAACCGATCCTTCTTACATATAGACATATCATAAAACAACTGATGTCTGTGTTTGACAGTAGCCACAACTTCTGCTACAGCTAATCAACTCCAACGAAAAAGATGGAATTAAAGTATCAAATTGAAGATCACACCGCCCGACGTCGCCCAAAGATAACCGGTAAATATAAAACAATAACGATACACTAACGAAAGGTAACGTGATGTTATTTGCACATCTTCCATGCTAAAGGTGCACCTAAACAATCTTTTCAAATGATTTACAAAGTTGACTTAAGAATTCACTGACTCTAAATTATGCTTAAACATTAAAACCAGCTGTTGGTTATGATCGGCCTCACCTCTATCGACGTTTAGTTTTGTTTTCAACAACCAAAATGAAACATATTCTACATGCTACTGTTGAAAAGACAATGCTGCTACTGACAATAAACTGCTTAACAGACAATATTGCTACTTACAAACTACAATAGGAAAGACATTGTTCCAACTTACAAACATTCGTAGGAAAGACATTGTTGCCACTTACAAACATTCGTAGGAAAGACATTGTTGCCACTTACAAACATCTGTAGGAAAGACATTGTTCCTACTTACAAATAACTGTAGGAAAGACATTGTTGCTCCTCCGTATAACTGTGTAACCTTGCTCTGATCTCTTGGTTGACGTGGTCTTTTATAGGACCTCCCTCGTAACGCCATACATGACTGGTCCTTCATCGTCCAAGGAGGCCATGTCGTTCATGTTCATGACGAACATTGACACATGATGACGAACAGTGACGCGATTGTTTGGGGAGGAGGACATAAAATGTCAATGCATCTTTTTTTATCGGAATAGCTGTCAGTTCGTCTGCCGGCAATGCGACCACATAAAGAACTGGCTTGGTACAATCGTAAGGGTGAATGAGATCTGTTCAAGACTTCCGTTTGAAGGGTATACCTTTTAGGTTAGTTAAACATATAATTCGTTTGGGAAAGAAAGACGTTTTTTCATCCACTGTGTGTTGCAAATAGTTTTGTATATTTTGTATAGTTTTTTTAATATTTTATATATATCAATGTATAAATGCAATGCAATAGCAATGCAATATAGCAATATAGCAATATATGTAAATAACAAATGAAATATACCAAATTTATAAAGTGATAAAGTGAAGTCAGTTTTAAACTTCATTTTGATCTGAATTCAACACTTTATATTTCGTTTTTCACTCGGAAGGTAGGGTTGGGCAGTGGTCGCTGCTATCGTGGTTGAGAATGTTTACACAGATTTAGATAAATAATATTATGTCATGACCTGATTTGCTCCAATGACTTATATTAATGATAAACACGATTAACCTTTGGCGTATACGAGTATATCTTGAGAGAAAGCAGCAATGGATGACTGTCATGTTGTTTTACTGAACTTGACCTTTGTTGGAAGTATGAGACAGATCGCCAGTAGGTAAACATTGATGCATTGCTTTTTTATTATAGCTTATCAATTATGTCTCAACGTAGTTTTCAGCATATGCAATAAAGTCGCGGTCAAGTCAGTAAGTGACACGGAAGTCACGCGTGATGATCTCATGTAGGGGTTCTCTGTAACTTTCACCCATTACCTGTATCAGGTCATGAGCGAAGGAAGGCGAAAATATTAACCTGTATGGATGTTGTGAGAACAATTAAAACATTTGGTCAACATAAATAGTTAGGATCTCATTGTTTATTACCTCTGGATCATGGTTCGTATCTATGAATTATGTTTTGTGATTTGTGGATTATGTTTTGTGATCTCTGGGTCATGGTTTGTGATCTCTGGGTCATGGTTTGTGATCTCTGGGTCATGGTTTGTGATCTCTGGGTCATGGTTTGTGATCTCTGGGTTATGGTTCGTATCTCTTGGTCATGGTTTGTGATCTCCGGGTCATGGTTTGTGATCTCTGGGTCATGGTTTGTGATCTCTGGGTCATGTTTTGTGATCTCTGGGTCATTGTTTGTGATCTATGGATCATGACGGTGGAAATACAACCTGTATTGATGTTGTGAGAACAATTAAAACATTTAGTCAACATAAATAGTTAGGATCTCATTGTTTATTACCTCTGGATCATGGTTCGTATCTATGGATTATGTTTTGTGATCTCTGGGTCATGGTTCGTATCTCTGGATTATGATTCGTATCTCAGGATTATGTTTTGTGATCTCTGGGTCATGATTTGTGATCTCTGGGTCATGGTTTGTGATCTCTGGGTCATGGTTTGTGATCTCTGGGTCATGGTTTGTGATCTATGGGTCATGGTTTGTGATCTCTGGGTTATGGTTCGTATCTCTTGGTCATGGTTTGTGATCTCCGGGTCATGGTTTGTGATCTCTGGGTCATGGTTTGTGATCTCTGGGTCATGTTTTGTGATCTCTGGGTCATTGTTTGTGATCTATGGATCATGACGGTGGAAATATAACCTGTATTGATGTTGTGAGAACAATTAAAACATTTAGTCAACATAAATAGTTAGGATCTCATTGTTTATTACCTCTGGATCATGGTTCGTATCTATGGATTATGTTTTGTGATCTCTGGGTCATGGTTCGTATCTATGGATTATGATTCGTATCTCAGGATTATGTTTTGTTATCTCTGGGTCATGATTTGTGATCTCTGGGTCATGGTTTGTGATCTCTGGGTCATGGTTTGTGATCTCTGGGTCATGGTTTGTGATCTCTGGGTCATGTTTTGTGATCTCTGGGTCATGGTTTGTGATCTCTGGGTCATGGTTTGTGATCTCTGGGTCATGGTTTGTGATCTCTGGGTCATGGTTTGTGATCTCTGGGTCGTGGTTTGGCAAGTATATGTTAAATATATGTAAGTATATGTCTCTTCTTGAATTCACGTTTTTCATAAACAATTGACAATGACAATGTTACTTACTGACATTTAGATATCAATATCTTGATCTATACCTGAAGATTTAGAGTTCCACCTCTACGTAACTATATAACAGAATAAATCTCAAACAGCTGAAACAGTACATTAATTAACCATAGTGCTGCTGATAAGGTTTCATTGCGATAACGGCAACCCCTTGAAAAACTTGTGTTACGATGTGATTTCCAATTCTGTTCGCCTTGAAATTTCATTTTCAGCTCTTTCGGTTCAGTTACCTTCTTATTGTTCTTCAATCAGCTAATTAAGCAATTCAAAATCAGCAAGAGGAATCAAAATTTTCGAACGTTCAGAATTTTGCCACTGTCTTATAACCGGTCTG